ACAGATATAATGTAAGTTGTAAAGGTTTAAAAGGTAGTTTAAGATTTGTAAATGCAATTTAAGATATTAAATTAAGAAATTAAGATATATTTAAACTATATAAAAGATAAAGCTTAAGGATGATACCTGATGCCAAGACTTCAAAACTTCAGAATTTTAAGATATCAATCAATGGAGTTCTGATACTTAAAAGTATTTCTCATTATGCTGAAAACTGTGTGTGTGTGTTGGAAAATATTCTGCTATAGAAAATGTCCTGCACACAGGGGGGTATTTAACAGTATCCCTGTACTCTGTCCAGTAGATGTCAGTGTGACAACTCCCTGAGGTCGTCATAACAAACAATATTCTAGTCATTACCAAATGCCTTCTGAGAGTGTGCTAGTGAGAACTACTGATCTCACAATTGGACATGAAAACACCAAAATTATCATGTTCCTATCATCTACTATATGAATGGATGGTGCAGTACAGTTTGTGAACAAGTAAAATATTTCAAGACTTTTTACAAATATAGGCTCTTTTCATCTTCTTTAAAACATCCAAAACTGGATCTACCTCTAACCTACTCAATTAGAATGCTGTAAAGGTAGAAGTGTGAAATAGGTGTTATTAGCATGGCCTCTCGGGACATCTATGCAGTTAACTGGGCCAAAGTCTAAGGCTGTACATAGTGGTAACCAGTTCAATGATAATGAATGTCTAATTCAAAAACCACCAGGGAGGCAATTCATTTACTCGCTAAGCACTTATTGTCACTCCATGAAGCACTTTTTAGAGCAGGGGAGACATGAGACAAAAGTTCCTGGACTAGTGGCAGCTAACTGTAAAGTCTACTTGGTGTTAATTTAAAATCTATAACCTGAAAGGTAAAAAAAGAAAAAGAAAATCTTATTCTATAGAAGGAGGAGGATTAGACATGGAGGAAACTTGACTACCATCAAATTAATTTTTTTATAGATGAGATTTATATAGGTTCAGCCAATCTCTACCCCCCAAGGATATGGTGTGGTATCTATAGAGGTTCAGGAGAAGATAACTGGGAGGTCTGGGGTATCAGTGTTACAGCTCTGAAGGGAAGCTCGGAAGGGAAAGGTATCCTGGCCATTGGAAACCAGGCAATACCTACAGCTCTTTTCCAGTGGGGGATGCTTTTTCCTCAGGAATAAGGCTCTTCTGCTCCTCTCCAGGAGAAACATTATAGCTCTGTTCTACTAAGGGGGCTTCCCTGCAGAAATGTAGCAGTTCTGTTCCTGCTCCAAGGGAAGTTGTTACTTTTCTACCCCACTCCACTCCCAAAAAAGAACCTTGTTAAAAAAGAACCTTGTTACCTAAACCTTATTCAAGTGATTCATTGGGGGTAAAGGGGAGGATCCAGGAGAGTGGCTGCTTCTGCCAGGGTAAAAAAAAAAAACAGTTTTAAACTGAACAGGTACAAACAGAGTTTCTTAGGGGCAGAGGTTTTCCAGGGTTTTCCAGGGTGTAGATTTTCAGGGTAGGAACTGGTTGGATTTCAAACCATGAGTTTGGACAAGCTTTGAGATTGGCTGGATTTTGTGCTCAGGGATTGGCTGGTCTTTGTGCTGAGTTGGTCAGGTCAAGGTGTGTTTCAGGGTCAAGGTGTGTTTCTTTCATTGGCCCTTTTTAATCTTTTGATCTGGTTTCAGGATCAGAGTGTTTTTTTGGCTGACTCTTTTACCTTACGTGGGAGGAAGAAAGGAAGGGGAGTGATGCTGTAGTTCTATTTCAATTAAAAGCTTTTTAAAAAGAAGAAAAAGTATTTGTTATTCTAATAAAGTATACAGACTTTTTGCTCGTTTTTGTTTAAATTTTGTTTCTTCAGGAAAATCTTAATAACTTTGACACTACATCTTTCCTAAATATCAACAACAAAAGACACTTTTCAGTTCTCCTTGGGAAAGAGTAAAACACTCTAAAAAGTCACAATTTTGCTGTTTTTATATATGTGTGTGCATACACATACACACATAGATTGTATGTAACAATAATAAAGAAGCTATCAATTTGAGAACTGGCACACAAGGAATTCAAAAGAGGGTAGTTGGGAAGTGTTGGAGGGAAGAAAGGGAGGGGGAAAGTGACGTAATTCTATTTCAACATACTAAAAATAATAAAGTAATAACTTACTTGAAAGGCTCTTCATTTTAAAATCCAAAAAAAAGTTCACATAATCCCATTGTAAAAGGTAAAGTCAAGCCTATTAACGGCATTTAACAAGATGAACTCTTTTCATAAAAGACCCAAGAAAACTCAAAAATCGACATGGAAAAAATATCACTATTGTCACTGAGGCATGAGGTCACACTACTATTGACCCTAGGAAAGATTGCCCCTGGCCTCATCACTTGTAAGCTTATCATCATTTAAAACATCATGTTTCTGATTCAGAACATTAGACCCTGGAGACTAGGGATACACAGTCTTATCTTGTACTTATGTTGCTACACCTAAAGGCCACTGGAGAACATCCGCACCATTAATCCAGGGGCTGTCGTATGTTATGAAAAGCAGGTCCACAAAGCCTCCGTTTCTTCTGAGGAACTGCATTATCCAGTCATTATCACACTGCTCATTGCCAAGCAAAACAACAGCCAGATGCTGCAGTTTTTGCGTCTGCATTAAATTTTGTGTGTAAAGTAACCACTGGGTGGCGTGGAAGATCTTTGTTTTTTCTCTTCCATTTAAAACAAGTACCACATTGTCCACATCTATGGAGAAGTAGCCAGGAACTACAGCTGGGCCAGTGATGAAACTGTAGAAAACAGACCACAGACTCCAAGCAAAAGATAAGCAAAATTCAACAAGCAAAAGATAAACAAAGCTAAATTTGATATCAAAACTTCTAATCACTTATATTCATTCTAGAAATGATATTTCTGCATTTCCAATACTTTTGGTTGAGAGGACCTTAAACATACTAAGATAGCATTTCAGTCGCTGAGATCCATGTCCAACCACACTTTTACCTTCTTCAGGCAATCTAATTATTATGCATTCAGGACTATGTATATGATCTAGAATGAAATTAGTGCAACAGAGGCCTGAAGAGGAAAGGAAAAAATAACCATTAGTATTGATATTTATAAGAATGTTATTTTTATATTTCATATATGATTACTCTGAGAAGATATGTGTGATGAAGGAGATAGCAGACAATTCCATGAGTAAACTATCTTATTTATAGGCAGAAGGACCTGAGTTCAAACCCCAACACCCAATAAAAAGCTGGTCTGAGAGATGAACTTAGTGGGTAAATGTGCTTGTCAACAAGCTTGGCCACTGACTTCAATCCCCAAGGCCCAGAAGTTGTCTTCTGACCTCCACATGTATGCCTACACACACACACACACACACACAGAGAGAGAGAGAGAGAGAGAGAGAGAGAGAGAGATGATGGAGGAGAGTCATCTGTCTATGTGTTACTTTCATTGGTTAATAAAGAAACTGCCTTGGCCCTTTGATAGGACAGAAAATTAGGTAGGCAGAGTAAACAGAGCAGAATGCTGGGAGGAAGAAGGCAGTGAGGCAGTCGCCATGACTCTCCTCTCCGAGACAGACGCAGGTTAGGATCTTTCCCGGTAAGCCACCTCCTCGTGGTGCTACACAGATTACTAAATATGGGTTAAAGCAAGATGTGAGAATTAGCCAATAAGAGGCTGAAGCTAATGGGCCAGGCAGTGTTTAAATGAATACAGTTTTCATGTAATTATTTTGGGTAAAGCTAGCCGGGCTGGCGGTGGGAAGCAGCCTGCTGTTCCTTTTACAGAATGGCGCCCAACGTGCCACTCCCATCACTACAGAGATTGAGATAAAGCTAGCCGGATGGGAGGCGGGAAGTGGCCCACCGTTCCTTTTACAGAGAGAGGGGGGGGAAGAGAGAGGGAGAGGGAGAGGGAGAGGGAGAGAGGGAGGGAGGAATAGATCGGTAAATAATGTGCCTTTTTAAGGCTGTAGTAGCATGTGCTTATATTCCCAGGACTGGGGAGCTCGAAGTAAAATACTTGAGGATCACTGGGCTGTGTGTGATTTGTTATGGCAGCTACAGGAAACTATGGGTTATGTGGGAGAATTTTGGGACCCAGAGTGAAGTGCTGTAACAAATACTTAAACATGGGGGATTGGCTTTGGCATTGGGAAGTGAGAGAAGGCTGGAAGAATTCTGAAAAGTAAGTATATTAGAGTCTCTAAAGAAAAAAAGAACAGATGGAATAAGTACACATTAAAAGGGAATCTATTGTATTGGCTTATGGGGTACAATCCAGATAGTCCAACAATAGCTGTGTCACGCTGGAGAGGTCATGAATCGGGATTGTTTACTGCTCTAGTTGGCAGAATGAACTTGGGAGAGCGGGGCCTAAAAATGAGGCAGACTAAAGTCTCACGTAGTAGCCAACTTTATTCAGAGCATCAGACAATTTTTACTCTGAGGATTGAGAAGAGTCACCTGAGTAAAGTGTACAATCCCAAGGACAAGCTACATGGACAAAACCATGTTTTCCCATAGAATCACAAAACAAATAATAACCAGTAGTAGTGAATAATCTGAGGGAAATTTAATGCCTATCTGATATATAAAAGCACATTCTAAGAACAATCCACGCTATAGGGAAACAGAGATGCCTTGTTCACGTGGAGTTTTCCCACAATGCCTCAGAAACTCCTTACAGAGCTTCGTTCGTGGGTTATGTCCCTACACTGCACGTCTCCATTTGACACCGAAGGCCTGACAATATGGTGGAGAGCTGCCGCTCTTCAGACCCACAAGAGTCCTGAAGAAACTTGGTTCTTATACTGACAAAGGAACGCAGCAACCAGGATAGAGGGACTTGCCACCAAGATTGAGGGAGGCAGAGGCAGGCGGATCTCTGTGAGTTCGAGACCAGCCTGGTCTACAAAGTGAGTTCCAGGACAGCCAGGGCTACACAGACAAACCCTGTCTCAAAAAACAAAAAGCGAAACAAAAGACTGAGGGTGAATGATTGTTTTGACAGCACATAAACTAAAATTGGAGCCATACAGAGAAGATAAGCATGGCCCCCACACAGTGGTGACAAACAAATTCCTGAGAAGTTCCATATTTTTAACCGGAGAAGAAACACACCAAGGGCTAAAACACAAGCATCCAAGGAAAACCAGTTAAATATCAGAAACTAGAATTACAATCTTCTCAATCCAAAAACTCAATCTACAATGGTGCACTGCCTAAAACAAAGACTAGGGCAATGGTAGCACAGAGCTTATAGGAATACCCAATCAATAACCAATTTGAACTAAGGCCCATTCCACAAGATGAAAATCATACCCAACACTGCTTGGGTGACCAAGAATCTGAAACTAGACACCTCAGGGACCTAAGATAAAATCCAATAGTACTGGTCTAAAAATGAGTAGGGATGAAATGACTTCTGATGACATTCTGCCATACTCAGATCAGTTCCTTGCTCAGCCATCATCAGAGATGCTTCCTCCTGCAGCAGATGGGAGCAAATACAGAGACACACAGCCAGGCAGTGTGCAGAAAGAGAGTGATACCTTGAAACAGTTAGTCCTAATGGGATGTCTCCATCAAACCCTTCCCCTCAGAGCTCAGGGAAGCATTTGGAAGAGGAGGCAGAGAGAGTGTAGGAGTCAGAGAGGACGAAGGACTATAAACAGACTGCTCATTCATTCCCGGCTGACCAGACCCAAACGATCATACAGAAACTGTATTAATTACAACAGTGCTTGGCCTATTAGCTCAGGCTTCTTATTAACTAACTCTTGCTTCTTAAATTAACCAATTTCTATTAACCAATGTATTATAATGAGGCTCTGGCCTACAGGTAAGTTTCCGGCATCTGTCTCCTTCAGCAGTTACATGATGTCTCAGCCTTCTTTCCTCCTCTATCTCTGCTTGTATTTCCTACCTTGCTATATTCTGTCCTGCCATAGGCCAAAGCTAGGCAGTGGTAATAAAACATATTCACAGCCTACAAAGTAGAATCCCACATCAGAGGACACCAAGAGAACAAGACCCTCTAAATCAACATGAGCAAAGCTCAGATGAACTCACGGAGGTTGAAAAGGATGCACAGGACCTGCAAGGGTCTACACCAAGTCCACTGTGTATGTAGTATGGCTTCTGGTTTTATGGAATTCCTGAGTGTGCAAATAAGTGGATGCCTAATTCTTGTGTCTTGTCTTAGGCTGTATTCCTTCTGTTGGTTAGTCTCATCCAACTTTGATGTGATAGGTTTTGTTTTATCTTATTGTATTTTATTTAGTTGTATTAAAATGAATGAATGAATGATGAAAACCTAGCCTCTCCCTTCCCCCTACTTGATCCTCCCATTCAGCCCCCACCCACCCAAGACTACTAGAGTGAAAGTTAACAACTGAATTGTTACTTACACCTTTTGGAGAGGAAAAATCAGTTTTCTGCAATGGCGTGACCCTGGGTAAACCAACTACACCAACGCAGGCCTCATGTTCAGGAGTAGGTGACCGACATATAATGGACTCCACAGTTTTTGTGTGTGTGGTTTTATTTGGTTACAGATTGTGTTTTATTTGATTGGTTTGGGGATGGTTTGTTGTTGTACTTTTGCTTTTGTTTGCTTTTTTTTAAAGATGAATATGTAAGGGGAGAAGACCTGGAAAGACTTGGGGAGGGGAAGAATATGATCAAAATATGTTCAAACTATGCTTAAATTTTAAAATTGTTTTAAGTAACAAAAAAAAAATCCACACAAACGTTAGGGCAAGCAGGCAAAAAAAAAAAGTTTCTTTCTTCCATATTCTTGTGTGTGAGCTGTCACCAGAAGGTAGCAGCCACATTTAGGGTGGGCCTTCCTGCTTCAGATAGTCAGATCAATAATACCCCTCACAGGAGAGCCAGCAGCTTGTTTTAATTGATTTCAGTTGCTAAAAGTTAACGACCAAGATTAGCCATCATGGTATGGTGTAACATGAGGGCCAGCTTGTTGGGGTTTCCGTCCCGCCCGATACCCCACAGCCAGCAAATCCCAAAGAGAAATCACACACAGGACTCCATAAGGTTATAAACTGATTGACCCATTAGGTCAGGCTTCTTGTTAGTTCTTATGACTTATCTTAACCCATTATGATCTATGTTAGCCATATGGCTTGGTACCTTTTTCAGCTGGGCCAGTTACATGCTGCCTCTTCGGTGGTCTGCGCAGGAGTGACAGAGGGAGCTTCCTGTGTCCCAGAATACTTCCAGTCTCTTTGCTCCACCCCTACTTCCTGTCTGGCTATCCCGCCTATACTGCCTGCCTGGCCAATCAGTGTTTTATTAAAATATAATTGACAGAATACAGACAATTCTCCCACACCAGTATGGTCTTTTTAATAAAGTCTAAAACAGACTAATTGAAGAGTGCAGGAGAAATGAGATACTTATGACTCATTCAGTGAGGAAGAGTCAGGTGAGGGTGAGGACACAGGAGAGAAAGCCTACACTGTCTCTAGTACACGCAGACTCTGGACACAGGAGAGAAAGCCTACACTGTCTCTAGTACACGCTGACTGTGGACACAGGAGAGAAAGCCTTTGCTGTGTCTAGTACACACTTTCACACGCTGAGGACACAGGACAGAAAGCCTACGCTGTCTCTAGTACACGCTGACTATCACACGCTGAGGACACAGGAAGCCTACACTGTCTCTAGTACACACAGACGGTCTCAGGCTGAGGACACAGGAGAGAAAGCCTACACTGTCTCTAGTACACACTGACTGTCGCAGGCTGACTGCTGGTAGAATGTGCATGGTAAAGGTAGGCGGGGCATGGAAGGAAACGGAGACTGTGTTATTAGAAATGAGGACAGAGAACTGTGCTGTAGAAGAGCCACAGACTCTGCCGGGCTGTGCCCCATTGGTATAGATGTGTAAAGCAGAATTTACAATTGGTGACCTTTTGTAACTGAAAATTTCTAAACAGTGTTAAATATGTAGACTGGTTCTCTCTCTCTCTCTCTCTCTCTCTCTCTCTCTCTCTCTCTCTCCTCTCTTCCTTTTCCTCTCCCTCCCTCTCCCTTTTCCTCCCTCACCCCCTCTTTCTGTGAATGCTGACAACCTGAGTTTGATCTTTGGAGCCCTAAGTAGGAGAGAATCAACTCCTTCAAGTTTTCATCTGACTTCCTTCTTGTAGGTTGTGGTGTGCACACTTGCACACATGCTTGCACGCACACATACTTGCACACACTAAATAAGTATAAATTTTAAAAAATTTAAAGAGAAGCTGAAGAGATGACTTAGTGGTTTAGAGTCTTTGTTGCTCTTGCAGAGACCCAAGTTCAACTCCTGCACCCACAGGATGGCTCACAACCATCTGTAACACCAGTTTCAGGAATCTGACATGTTTTTCTGATCTCTGCGAGTACCAAGCATGCATGTGGTACACATTCATACGCACAGGCAAAATATTCATTCACATAAAATAAATCTAAAAAAATTACTTTAAAAATGTATTTAACAATGCTCTCTTCTGTGCTAGAAAGAAATAGGGTGCTAAAATTAATATTTGCTAAAATAATAAGACAAACCATCTAATAATTCTGAGTCTACATAAAAATAAAACCAGAAAATTCAAAAAGTATCGTTGCTTTTGGTTAAAACTTATATATTCATATTGATTAATTTTTTTAGTTCTTATTTAATTTTTGACAGCTTTTAAAACAGTAAATAATCTTTTCTCAGGGAATAATAAATATCTTCTGCAAAAAAATAGGGGATCTGCTAAAATTCTTATTTAGAATGTTACTATGAGTAACAGTGTAGACATATTATTTCAGAGATACATGATCTACAAAATAACTTAAGATTGCATAGCTTGTCGGCCATGACATTTAATATACTATCAGCAACATCTGAGTCTTCTGTGAACATGAGGCAATGACTTCAATGCTGGAGAATTAGTTTCGCACAGGTCATCAACTGGCATTTGGGCACTCTACTGTTTCCCCGGAAACTAGTATATTTTCTATGTTATAGTTACTGTGATTCAGTAAGACAAATATTCAAAAATGGAGTTATAGACTTAAAAACTGCCAGGTTGGGTCGTCTTCTGCAGGAGACATACAGATACTATTGTAACCAATTCTAAGGAAACTCCTCCCTTCAGGACTGGGGGCATCTGCAGAGTCACCACAACCAGGGGAACATGGTTTGGGACATGAACAATCAGAATCCTAGTTGTGAGACAAGGTGTTCATATGTAGCCAGAACTGCACCCACTATAGTGACATTCTTACCTGCAGCCCAGAGCTGGGATTAGACGTCTGCATCACTACATCTAAGCTACAGTGTGGGTCTTTGTGGAAATAACTTAATTGCTATGGTCATATTGTAATGATTACGTATTGCTCAGAGGTGTGGGAGAAAGGGAACAGCCATCTAAACAGTACTTGTCCCAGATGAAATGTGGCTTGGCTTTCCCCTTGATAGCTTTGATATGCTGTGCATATTAATGGCGGACGATAAAAAGGGCCCGTTCCCTGTGCCTTCCTGCCTTCCCCTGACTGTGTAGCAACTCATCCTTCGTGTACAGTGGAGTGCTTCCTTTTGCCTTTCATGACAGATGTACACAGAAGCAGCTTGTAGTAGTTTCTCTGTTGCTGTGATAAGGCACAGAGCAGCTGGGGATGGAGAACTTCAGTTTGGCTTACGGTTGACAGTCCATCATCCAGGGGAAACAAAACAGGAGACCAGAGACAGGAGCTGAAGCAAGGACGAGGAAGGACCACTACTTGCTGTCTTGATCCCATGGCTCTTTCTCTTTCTCTCTCTTTTATTTTATTTTTATATTAATTTTATGATTTTTGATTAATATACTAGTTTTATAATTAATTTTATTTGTCATTAAAGTATAATTACATTACTCAACTGCTATTTCCTCCAACCCTTCCCAATCCCTCACAAATCCATCTACTCTTTCACTTTATTATTGCTGATATATATATATATATATATATATATATATATATATATATATATGAATAAACATGTAAATATAGCCTGGTGAGTCCATTTAGTGTTGCTTGAATGTATATATATTTAGAGCTAACCCTAGAACATTGGATA